ATTTACCTTTGCTATCAAAGACATGCAGTGATGCTTTGAATTTCTTCACCTGAAATAAGTCTGAAGACATTATTTTCCTCAAGTCTGAGCATGTCCTTAAAATATAATCTTAGATAGTTTAACCCTTTAACTCCCAGAAGTGATTAACATGTAACTTCTCCCCAAAACATCCATACATTATCCAGCAAAAAGGTAGTGAGAATACACAGACATATCAGGTTGAGGTTGTCATCTTGATCTAACACCAAATTATCATAACTAATTTACTAGGAAATGTGTAGCAGCTAGAGGGGAGAATTAACAATCAGATCTTGGGAGTTAAAGGGTTAAACCTTTTCCTTTCAGTTGTGGTTTTAAGAAGACTTTTATTTGTTGTATTTTTAGAAATCTGTGGACACATAAAGGGTTTTTTTTCTCTGAGGGACAACTGTAAGTACAACAAAGTCAAAAATGCTCTTTACATTGTTTTTTTGAGTTCATGTACAAAATGAGGGTTGAGATGGAAAATATCCACATTCATTGTTTTGTTGTTGTTGTTTTTATGTCAAGTGTAATTTCTTTGAAGTAACTCCTTCTGATGCAAACTCTCAAATGGCTGGTTATAAAACTTAGCCTGGCTTATTTCTGGGTAGTCTCAGTTATACACAATCAGCGGCTGTTAGGTCATTCTCAAGGTTATAAATATTGAAAGAAAAATTCAATTGCAATTCAACCTCCCAGAGTGTACTTCAGCAGTAAATGAAAGGCATGAATATGTTTCCTCAGCTTCCCTTAATGTTTACTTAACCCTTCAACTCCCATGAGTGACCAAAGAAGAATTTCTCCTTACAATATCAATACAATATCAAGCAGATAAGTGATGAGAATAAAGAAAAATATCAACAAGGGGATTATCAGTCAATTCAATACCAAATTAGCATCCAAAGAATTTTGTGACAGACATTAAGGAGAGTTAGTAAAAAGATCTTAGTAGTGAAAGGGTAAGATGTAAATGTTGATAGTGGAGTGGATTGGCAGACTGTGACAGTATTTTCAGTGTTGAATCTGTTCTGCTGCAGTGATGATTACAACCATATTGTGTACTGAATATAATATGTGGTTTCACAAACGAGCTTTTTAAATCTGAGCAGCTGACAGAACTTTTTTTTATTAAAACACAAGCAAGAAAGCATGTTTAGTAGAATCCTAGCTGTTGATTATTTATAATTTGATTATTAAAATATTTTTTTACTCTCTACAGTATGTTCTAGAGAAAAAGCAGGATGATAGCACCTCATTTGTGTGATTACATGTGGTAAGTACAAGTATTGTTTTACATTTTTACCTTGATTTTTTGTCTAGTGTTGCTGGTGTATCTTTTATTCATTATTGTCTTGGCCAAACTGCTCTAGTTTACAATGCCTCAGTACCCACCTTCTTCTTCTTGTTAAATTTGTGTATTTCTGCCTTGCATTTATAAACATTTGCAGTAGTTTTGCCATATGAACAGATCCAAGTGATGATATGTGCTTAAGGTAGAGGATGAGAACTCTGCCTCAGATTAACTCATGACGACAAATAAGCACAGGGGCCATCTGATGGATTTAAGTTACTTTAATCTAGTTTGGTTGCTTCAGTCGCCTTAACCCTCGTCACCCTAACATTAGTATCCATGTTCTCCATTCTCTTTCCTGTATATATTTCCTTTGGTACTGACAAGGAAAATTATTTCATCAATCAAAGCTTCCTAAGTTGGTGATCATTTCCTTTACTCTGGTGATCTTCATGAATGACTTGGTAGTATCATTGTTATGGGAAATTAGATGCTGGTTAGTCAAAAGTTTAAAGGGTCAATGTATGATCATGCCATTTGCAGAGATGTTACCCTCGAGCTTCGTTTGCCCTATGTTTTTCACAAGCATCTGCTTCTTTCATTTGATGTGGTTATAAATCCTTTTGCTCTTGGTGTGCTGCGAATACTTTGACATCATTCATCAGTCAACATCTTTATAGCAAGTTTATGGGAGTGAAAGTGGCAAATTTGATGAACAATTTTGTTTGTGTCCACTGAACAAATGTTAATGTGACAAAGCATGTAGAGGAGTGTTTCCCTGTAAGTTACAATGTGTTGAATAATATGATTTTTCATTAACTCTATAGATGGATCAAGTGTGGTGTGCAGATTGGGATCAAGATCAGGCCCTTGTCCCTGTAACCAGCACTGCTAACAGCACTGGAAACATACCTAAACAATCACAACAAGAATATTGTGCAATTGTCTGGCTTTGCTATCATTTTCCCTTGACAGGAAATATTAAAAAAAAATGAAATTATTTTAAATGTTTCTCTCATGGTGGGAATGTTTCTCTTTAAACAGAAGTACACAATTCCTTCTGTGTTACCCTCTGCGGTATGTTCAATGAATGGCATATGTTGTAGGGCAAGTTTTTCAAGACCATATGTTGATTTTATTCACTTACTCATGTTCGTTATGTTGTGTGGAACATATCTCTTCAAATAGTTTTATTAAGGCTTTCAAGTGCCCCTCCTCTGCTTCTTAACCAAGACTCTATATTAGATGAGTTAACAAATCCGGTGGAAGTGTAAACACCATGTTTTTATTTGATCATTCATTGAGGACACCAATTATTTACAACATTTCAGTAAACATACCGTATTTTACCCCTATTGAAAATGTTTATTCCAAGCGTAATTAATTTATCTCATACTTGACTAGTCCATTTCTCATGTGCCTTTATTTTGATTATCTTAGTAAGTCTTTATTACATCATTTACCTATTTTACTGACACCCAAATTGGACTGATTTTCACATGAATGGACATGCACCTTGGCCTGGCTCTGATTTGCAGGCAAAGACATCTTAAAAATGGGATATTAGTGTTGGGAACAATAACTCAGACAAAGACATTACCATCTATTACAAAAGGGGGTTTATAGATGATAAAATCCAAGACTCGCAAGACTTCAAAACCTCTGTTCCAAAGTCCAAAACCCAGACATATCAATATTACAATCCTTACAATCAGATTAATGTCAATATGCTCTCTTTTTCATTTCCTTATATACCTTGACTTCTACATTGCAATGTTTTAAAAAGACAAATGAAAATAATCATACACAAATTGCTATTCTAACAACCATCACTCTAAGCTACTCTACATCCACACCCTGGTGGAATAGCAAATCCCAGACTCTTAAAAACTTTGAAAGAAATACATCACTTTGCAAGTCAACTTAAAGGTTTAGAGAATTTCAATATCTGACCAGAAATTTGTATCACCCCAAATTTAAGTTACCATTCACCATTCCTAACTAGAGGAGACAAGTGTACCCTTAAGCTATAGATGAAGAGCCAATGCTAATTTCTATATACAATTTACAATTATTTGTGTTTTTCCTTGACTGGATTCTTCTTTAGTTACCTAGACCTGAAAATACCCCAATCATTTTCCAGATACCAGCATACTCAATATTAAAAATAATTGGAAAACAGCAGAATCTAATTTTCTATAGTAGAATTATGAATGTAATATTTTTCATTAAATTTCAGAGTACCACTAATGACATCATTCCAGAATTAAAACATTCCTCTAGTACTGAACAATATTTGCAAAGATGATTTTAAATATTAAAATCCTAAACATTAAGCAATGTCCCAAGTGACACAGGAGGAAAGTAAACCCCACCCCCACTTAATGCATGTATTTAGTATCTCGCCCCATTGATTTCAACTTTTAATGTTATATCACCCATTCGGTACTATTTTAAAATAATCTTCCAAATTTATATTCTCAACACTGACTGTGACATTTACAACTCTCAGGAATAAATAAACTCAAAAATCAATAAGGTACTCCATAAAGAAATACTTGCTAATACAATTTCCTTCAGACTATATTAATTAACTGGATGAATAAAGAATCCAGTGGTAAATTTACTCATTACTGCCCTCAAGCACCTTTTTCATGAACAAATATTTCTGTAAGCTTATTTTCCTACATCAATACCTAAAAAAAGTTTGCAAAAAAATTTGCCACATTACTGTATTAATTAAACTGCAAATCTTACTTTCCATTGCTAAAAAAAAAGTATGAACATAATCTGTCCTAGGATGTAAAATTTGTAGTATTATTTTACCTTACATCAAAACTTAATGACTGTTTTTACCCTTGGCAGCAAACATGGAGCACAGCACTTGTTGCATTTCTTGTGTATGGAATGAATATACATACAACAACATACTCTTAAATGGACTGATGTACAGTTTCCTTCATTAAACTGATACTGAACAAGGTATCAGGTCCAGATCATTGTTAGAACCTTAAGGTTATTTCACTAAGCTACACTTAAAGCCACATCTTGTCAATAATGGATAGACAATTCCAACAAACACAGTAAGTGTTTGCCAAATTTTGAATTCCAACAAATGTGGACTACAAAAGGAGTTTCAAATTTGGATAAATAAGCAAAACAAGTCTTGGATATGGCATCTAAAGATTGTTACAACGTCTTGAATTGCTTAATTTTTTAAAAATTATGTGTAATTATATTTATATACAAACAATTGTGACTGTAATCAAATTATGTTCCTATTATTATGGTTGTCCTAGTATGAATTTTAATTAGTATGGTCAAAGGAACTCTAGTTTGAAAAACTGTTGAAAGCAAGGTCTGCTTCCTAGAGTAGTGGCTTCTTTTTTAAAGAACCAACATCATCTCACAGTGCTGGGTTGTATGTCAGCTCTCCCTCTTGGAACCTCCTTTTAAGTTCTCCCCAGAGCAGGCCTCTCTCTTTGAGCACCCCCTTTAAGAGGCCTTTATTTTCCATGGCCCTTCGCGAGAGGTATGGCAGAACATCTTCCACAGGCCCAAATGGGACATACTTGTACACAGCATACCCTTCATTACCTGAATCAAAGATGAGAAAAATCTTAGTTCAGTGGTTGAAGGCAATTCCTGTGAATCACTGAAGTGAACTATGAAGATTGGGGAGTATGCCTTTATACATACTGTGATTATTCTGGTTTTTCTTAGACTTTTGTTTTAAATGTTTACTGAACTGTGCATTATAACTTGCAAGCTTGAGGCTCTGAGCCAAGCCGAGCCACCTAGCACCATATTGCGATGGAACCTACACGGTACAATAATTATAACTGGATTGAAGATTGGATTAACTGGATTGAAATTGTAAAATTTGCAATTCAGAACAAGACCTTTGGGATCTACTTAACTATATAATGTACATGTTTCCAAAGAGGTCTGTAATATGATTGACAGCAGTGTAAAGCAAATTTTAAATGAACTAAACTTCACCACAACTCTTTGCATCTCACTGAAAAGTGCAGTTTAATGGATCTTACACCTCGTATTTTACTTCATTTAACTGAGCTTTCCAAATGTGAGCCTGCTATGCTTCATCAGGTCACAACACTCCTTCCCTGTGCTGGTAATGTGTGATTGCAAAAGCCATGTAAATCAATACTTCAAGCAACTATATCTTGAAATACAGATATGTAACTGTACAACCCTCATACCTAAAGTAAATGAAATTGCATCAGACATTCCAAAGAGCTGTCCAAAGAAGACTTTCCTTTCCTGAGGTGAAATTCCCAACTCATGCATCCTATGAGAAGATAAAAAAAAATTTTAAAACTCTCTGTGATCTTGAAGGAAAAAATAGTATCCCCTTTGCTATAGCCCCTCAGCAGTGTACAATCACAGGGTGCAAAATGTTTTATGGCAGTGCGATTTCACATTGTGCACTTAAGGACATCAAAAGCAAGGTCAATTCAAGCTTAAATGAGTTATAGATAAATTGGTGCTTTATTTTAAAAATCTTACTATGCAATTTGCTGTACAGAAAGGCAAGATTTATACCATGAGCCAAGGATTTCAATATCTTTTTCCACAAGCAGCTGGCAATGGTGTAATATTAGTGCCTGTTCCCAGAAAAGGGTTTGAAAGGTGAACCTAAAATCCTTGATTGTAAGCTAAGCAGATGGTGGTTTGTAATCTTTAAGGTGGCAGTAAACTGAAAATTACCTGTTGATGGCCACCTTGATGGAATTCTCATTGTGAGTTGCCACAAGAACATTAGCATTTCCTCTTTTGGTTTCCTCTAACACAGCATTCAAAACTTCATCAAAACATTTGCTGGTTGCCTTGTAGCTTGGGTGGATTGGGTCAGGGTAGCCTATTGTGCTGGCCCTAAGGCGCTCTTGCTCCATGTAAGCACCTCGCACAAGCTTGGCACCAAACATGTATCCTTCCCGTCTTGCCAATTCCATGTCTGTTTGTATCTTTGTGTAGGTGTCCTTGGATATACAAGATAGCACAACTATTTGATATTATATTTGAGCAATTTTTTCATACCAAGTGAGCTGTAGTAATATGTAGTGTATAGCTTCCCTTTGTGGGTTTTTTGGGGTACATTAATTTTGTATAATTAAATCATAAGGCCTTCTGCAGCCTAATGTCAGTTCTTGACCTCTTGACTTGGTTGTTACAATAGTGACATCAACCTAATAGTTATACAGCCAAGGCCTCTTCATTTGTATTAGTACAGTAAAAAAGGACCAGTGCATTACAATTGCCATGCTGCCCCTCAAAGAACACCAGAAAAAAGTCTACCCTTCCAAACTGTACAACTTCTGAGGAAATATCAACTTGAAGACTTCCATGTAGGTGAAAACTTGTAGACAAACACTCACCTTTAAATAACACTGGTATGTGTTCAGCACAAGTGGTGTTTCCTTGTTAAACTTCCTCATCAAGTCTAAAGTGAGATGTCTTATGGCAGGTTGAAAGTATGTTTGCTCAGCATCAACCATAAGCCTCACACCAGTTTTTGAAGCATGCTAATAATTACAAAAATGTTCGCACAAAAATCATGTTTTTGTTTGAGGAATCTTCTTGGCAGGTGGAAGTGCAAAGTTTCTTAGGCTCACAATAAGCTCTACTCTAATTCGCTTGCAGCTTTTTCCAACAATAATCTTTTTCCCCTAAATTTCCTCATCAGTTTGTAGTATACTGTAATCTCAAGTGGGGGAACACTTGTATTGTCTTCCTCACTAACTTAAAAATAAAACTGTCTTTTTTTCCTTTTGTTGAAAATAATTTTTATTAATGAATGCTCCTTACAAAATATTCACTGCTACCAGCAGTGCATTCAAGTCTAGAAGTATTTTTTGCCAAGTGGAAGACTAAAAAGTGTTCTTGTAGGTGTGGTATGTCTTTTCTAGGATTTACCCTTTAGTCCTGAGATCTGATTGTTAATTCTCCCCCCCCCTCCTTGACTGCTAAACATTTCCTTGTTAATCAGTTTCAAGAATTTGGTGTTAGATCATGACAAATTCTACCTGATTTGTTTGAGTATTCTAGTTACCTGTTGGCTAGACGATGTAAGGATATTATAGGGAGAAGCTACATGTTAATCCCCTATGGGTGTTGAAGGGTTAAGGGCTAACAAGAAGACAGTGCGCACCTCAGCAAGAGTTGTTAGTCTGTTTGCCATATTTTCCATTTGAATAAGTTCTTCATCTGTCAGAGCTGAAATTATCGGCCTTCCTGACTTCTCCTGTGAAAAAAAGAAAATTACTATGAATCCTAACCAATTACAGAATGAAAAGTTATTGTAGTCTATCATGCTGTCATGTTTTAAGGAGTATTTAAAATATTTTGTGTATACAAATTCATTATTTAAAACTGAAACTCCTTGCAACAGATAACCATCAAGGTGAACAAGATTTTACTTTCTTTCAAAATGAGAAGAATATTTGAGAACTTACATCACCCTGTGGCTTTGCCCTGAATAACTGAGAAAGTTTCAGCTGCGGGGTTAAGAACTCATGCCATTCTATGACATCAATATCGCTAGAAATGGAAAATACAAAGCTTTTAAGGATAACCAGCATAATTCATTGTAATAAATAAAGTCAAGATTATGGTGAGTGAATACAGCTGTTGTTTAGTGTCACACTCAACATTGCTCTTTTTGTTAATTTTGGGGAGTGCACTTGAAAGAAGACAGGCTGAGGAGTATTAATAAAAGGAGATTTGGTGTAAAGGGCTAGGCAGGGATAGTACTCTGATTCCATCAGAAAACAGCTTTCTACAAGTTGAAAAAAAAGGAATACTGTCGAATGGATTGCAAATAGCTTTTCATGCCATCAGCCTTCAATTTAGAATTAATCATAACAACACAGGTTGTTAGCCAATAGTCTGCCAAATTTTCATAACTTGAAAGAGAAAAGTTAGCTAAAATTCACATTATCTTATGCTCATTTTAGAATCAACAAATTTTAGTTATTGTTAATAACTTCATTTTACCCTGACTTGTTGGTGTCAATTAAGTCAAATATTCTGTTTGCTTCTTCTGGACTCATCTCAACCTGACAGTGAAAAAAGAAGCGATCATACAGTCAATTAATTCACACCTATTATAATATCACTCTACTTGAAACTGCCTAGAACTGCTCAACTATGCAAAGTGAACCATTCAAAAGACAGCATCAATTACCCCAAGTGTTTTCAGGCCTTCAAAGAACTTGTCTCTGGCAACACTGTTTCCAATCTTATCCATCAAGACAGAATCTGAAGCCAGATGATCAAAGAAGTACTGTGTCTGATTCAGAATTTCTGAGATTCGCATCTGTAAGAAAAGGAGCATACTTTGTATTCAGAAATGTATCATTTTAAGGGTGTAATCAGATTAATGTTTTTGTTTTGAAAGCATACTGCTGATCCTCATAACCACTAAATTTGGACAACCAAAATGAGTGATTAGCTATTCTGGTCAATTTCAAATGAAGGGAGAGTGTTCTCAAGTATTCACAGCTGTCTGTGTCACCTTATTAAGGATTTCTTTTCATAACAGTAATTGAAATGAGTGAAGTGCAATTGGGTATGAGTACAACACCAAGTTTAATGGCCAGTTTTAATTGTTACAATTAAATACCCTACCTTCTCACAAGGATTATCAGCTCTTTCAAAATAAATGTAATTAATTAAGCCAATTATTTATCAATTTTTTCACATGTTCAAATGGTCACATGGTCAAAAAAGATTTAATTAATTCTAGAGTTTTTGAGCTTGTGTTAGCATCATTAGTGTGAACCACTGCCTTAATTCTCTAAAGATGCCTTACTCACAAGTATCTGAGGCCTTCCTAAGGCTGTAACCTTGATTGCAGCAAAGCCATCCTTGGAAGCACTTGCTGTAATATATATATATATATATATATAAAAAATGAATTTCAAAATACCTCATTATTGCCTTAAATAGCAATACATATGTTTACTTATTCTATTCTATCAGGAGCCCATTGTGGGCTCCTAATTCTATCTATTCCATGTTTAGAATTCAACTAAGTTTACACAGTGATCTTACCTGCTGCATCAATGCATTTCAAGAATGTGTCGACTCTCTTTTCACACTCTTCTTCCCCTTCATAAAAATATGTCCGAGCACTGTACACTCCTTTCCTCCTATCTGCAAATTCTTCATGTGGTTTGAATTTGTCGTGTTCATCTGATGGATCTACAGAATCTTCAGTATTTTGTCCCATGTGACTTTTGGTTTCATTTTCTGACAAGTCCTCTTCCACAGAATAATCTAAAATTGCACCAACTCCAAACTTCTCCAAATTAGAAATAGCTGGCTTGATTGCTTCTTGATCTTCACCAGCCACAAAATGACCATAAAAAGAGGCCTTCATTAACTTCCTGAACAAATGCTTTCCAAGAATCTTTTGACCAAACTGAAGCAACTAAAATTGAAACATGTACAGTAGTAAAGTTTAAAATTATGTAATTTTATAAGAGAGTTTCTCAAGGAAAATTGTTGCAGAATGATGAGTGCATATGGTAGATTTTATTTATGCATCAGTTACAAGACCTCAGCAATTTTGAAATAACAAAGTAAAGCCCAAATTGTTTATTAAAGTGAAATCAGTATCTAAATGAGCATCCACATGACTCTTCTTGATGGCTGCTCAAGACAAGATTTTCCTCATAGAGGAGTTTGCTTGATACAGATTTCTCTGTTACATAAATTTGCTCTTATTTAAGCTAAAATTTATCCATTTGTTTATTAGCAATATTAATGAGGGCTAGCCCAGTTCAGCTTCAAGCTGGTTTGAATGGGGGCTTGCAAAATCAGTTTGTTGATCAACTTTGAGAAAATTCAGAAACAAAAAAAATGAACACATTATGAAATTAATCAAAGTGCAACATAGGATGTGAATAATTTTACAATGTAATCAACAATCAGGCCAAATGCTAAAATACTTCATTTTGGGCAAATAAGTAGACTTTCAGGATACTTAAAATGTAGAATATTCAAAATGTGTTCCTATTCCCGCAAGCAACACAGCGTATTTAATATTGTACATGTTTATCTTTGACAGTGGCTAGTTCAACATATTACTGGAGGTGTGTTCAGGGGTTTGTCTTGCGTGTTCCAAATTCCACCGATACAACAGGAGTAACGAAACTAGTAACAGCCTGAATCGTTGCAAGATTGTGAAACTGGCAAAACCTTGTTATGAATTAGTGATTCTGATACAATTACATGTCGATACATATTGCTACATGCATTATCGCATCTAACATCCTCGAGGATATAGATGAAAAGTATTTCTAGGCTTGAAAAAGGTTTATTTTGAAATCGAACGAAATACATTTGGACATCTAGTTTCAAGATGAGAGTTCATCTCCATTCGACGTAGAACGCCTTTCGTTTCAATGGTGGAAAGCACAATTTAAGTTGACAAAACATGTTTCGACAATCATTTCACTTAAAGCCATCTACTTGACCTCATTTGTTAATTATCGGATTTTCAATTGCGCAACAGAATAATTTTAAAGTTTAATAACTTCAAGATCGGTGCTGCGAAAATAAAATTTTAGAGATTTCATTTACACCTACTGCTAACCGTATTTCAAGAAACTGAAAATGGTTTAAAGTTTCCCATTTTCTTGATGTTTTACGTAACTTCGCGATCGACATGTGATACGAGAGTGGTTCGTCGTCGACTCAATAGATTTAGTCGCTAACAGCGTTAGATTTTGCAGTGATTACAATGAGTTACGAGTAGTTTTTCTTTTTTTCGTCTATCCTTTACGATAAGCGGGAATCAAATAACAGAATACATACAACAACATGACAGTTGGAGTTACCATTTATTAAACATGTAAACAACACGGTTTCAGGAATTTAGCAGAACGATGAAATAGAGTTCGTGTTGTGCGATTACCTCACAAAATATCTCGCGTATCGACAATATTTGGTTATAAAGCTTTCGGATAAAAAGCCGCAAACGAGTTCTGGACGTTACTAGAGTTTTGCTATAGTTGAAGGTTACGTAAGAATAAAGATATGTCTTGTCTAGACAGTACTTCAACAGGACGAGATTATGCAAGCTTAAGGCGTATGGATTGTGATTTCCCTTACCTCTTTGTTCTTATTCACTAGAATATCGAAGGTGCACAGTCTAAATATGGCCAAAGCCCGAACAATCTCCCACGTCGTTTTCGATCGGAACGCGTTTTTGCCGTCGTTGAAGCTCAATCCACTAACTGTTTTGTCGGGACTGGTGGAGGTGTGATCCCTTTCAGGAGAAATTGTGGCAGTCCTTGAAACTTCAGCAATGCTGTGACTACCTCTTCTTAATGAAAATAGCAATGTTCGAGTATTCGATGACCTTCCGTTAAGAAGAAGTTTTGTTCCCCACGACCGGCAACACACAACATTCCTCGCCATGATGAACGTATGAACGCGCAGGGACAAGTGTTTTTACATTATTAAAAAAAGTCACATTTATGTATTGTTGGCGCGATCTTCGTGCACGTGACGACAACCTGTTTTTCTGGTTTTCCTTGTCTGCCCAGCATCCGTAGTTTGTAGCATCAAACCGTTCATTTCCTTTGTAGGTGTTTTTCCCTTAGAGAAATTTTTAAAATTTGACCAAAAAAAAAAAAAAAAGAGAAAAGGAAAAAATAAGAATTAAGGAAACTCATGTTTCATATAAACGGATTTAAAGTTATACTGAACTTATGACATTTCCGCTGACTGTAAGAATTAATTATGGATAAGCGTTCTTCTGCGTTGGACCACAGCTCATAACAACAGAGTCGAACCACAGTGCATAACGGAAACAGGTTTTTAAGATCAATGACAGGAAGAATGTGAAACTGTCTAAATAAAGTTTTTAGAATAAAAATAAATCTTAAAATCTCATCTACACAGTTGGAGAACATGTGTGAAGAGAAATCGAAGCTGACAAGTTCAAATTAACAGTTGCTCGCTTGGAACTCAACGAAGGAACAACTTATACCCGACTGATGCTAATATTTACAGGTTTTAAAAGTTGCCAGCTCGATACTTAAAAATAGATAAGCGTATAGGCTACTTTTTTTTTCCTCTTTGTGACCACGAAAGAATGGCGATGTAACTAAGCCATTGAGTTGATATCCTTTGGAGCATATGAGCGAAAAAATTATCAAAAATTGAGACGGGCATTTAAAATCATCAAAAGAAAAAGCACTTAGCTGAACTAGGTGCATTGGGAAACTACAAATTGCGTTACAATAATGTATATTTTCAAGAAACCAACATGGCGGCGCTGCACGGACGGTATTCATCGCTCGGAATATCTTACGGAAATACGAATGACTCTATCTCCCGATAGAAGGCGTTTTATCTGGCGTATACTAATCTTCATACTATCTTTCTTCGAGGAAAAACAGTAATCTGATCTTTCTTCATACCAATTGCGAGGCTAAGGTATGCTTGTTAAATACATCAAATTTATCCCTTAGTTCTAGGCTTCCAAATGAATTCTTGTCAACTGAAAACAATTCAGCTGATGCAGATGTGGAAACTGATGCGATTAAACCAAATGATGGTGTTAATCTAGTTCTTAGTAACTTATTATAAAATAAATTATTTGTTTAGACAGCGAGTTTCTACTCGTTTTTTATTTGAAAGTAAGGAATTCATTGACAATGATGGCTTCACTGTCTCACAGTCTTATGAAATATTGACAGAATTTGAACCCTGATCTTCTATCAAGTATCTCATTTCCATTCTCGATATTCAGTCTTTTAAGGAAGCAGCGACGCCTTCAACTTTAAGTGTTGCAAATTAACGCTAACCTGCAGGCTTTTCCGAAACATAGAGACTGTATATTACAACTGAAAAAAAATAGAAAAAAAACATTCTGGAGTATCGATCCAGATCACTTAGAGGCACGTAAGATTTTAACAGTAGCTAAAGTAATCATCATTATGCTAACATTTATCTTGGGAATCACAAAGGCTGTTGGAATCCACTGATGAAACTCTACCTCTATGTAGCAAGAGAGATGCACCATATAGATGATCTCAATCAACAGCAATTTGCTATATACTTGTTTTACCTTTGCTAATTAAAAGATATCTAGAATAAGTTACTATGCTGGATACAGTGTTGCTTCTGCACCTGGATCTGTAACATTAACATTGAAAATTAACATGATTTTGAGTGCAATTTGGTGTTTATAAGCAAAAGGGAATTTTTCAAAGACAACAAAATTGCACCAGCCCATAGAGCATTAGTGCAATTGTAGCCTTTGAAAAATTTACTAGTACGTATATTTATTGCACAAGAAATCATGTTGTTACTTATTAATAATTTATATGAAAAAAAAAGCATCACAGAAAGTCATGACACACAAAATTTTGACAGCGCAGACACTAATTGTAATTTACACTTTTGTTACAACTTGGCACATGTCTAAAAATGAAAAATGCACTTGTTTTCAGCCAATCAGATGTGCATTTTTTTTCATGTATATCATTATAGGGGGATTTGCCTGTGAACTTTTCAAAGAAAACTTCTTTCTTGGTGGCATTTCCCTTGAGAGTGTATTTGCTTTCAATCTGTTTCCTCTCCTAGCTCTGGAAATAAATTTTGTTCAAGATATAGCACCTCCCCACCGACTTGTACAACACTAATTATCCATTCCCTGTAAATTCAGAGCTCTTTATAAGATGATGAATACCCATAATGTTTTTTAATGGCCTTCTAGATTTCAAACTTGACATTTTCCTTACATCTGTCGTGGAATTATAGTCAAGATTACCATTAAGCCATTAACTCTCAGAACTGGGTCACATGTCACCTCTCCCCATAATATTGATACATTTTAAAGTAAACAGGTAATGAGGATACTCAAATTTATTAGGTAGTTGTTAGCATGAACACCAAATTCACATAACTAGTTTACAAGGTAGGAAGGATAATTAACAATCAGATCTTTGGGAGTTAAATGGTTTATGAGAAGCATAAGTAGTGCTAATCAAATTATTTCTGGAGTAATTTGGAATACCTGGTCTCCTTGGCAGCTTTTGTTTAGTTTCGTCACTCATGCTCTCTCTCTCTTTCTCATGGACTTACCAATTCCTGCAATGAAGATTTCTAATCATCCTTTGGGAGACTACTGCAAAAGTCTCCATGAACAAACCAACTAGGTGGTGTTTTAAATGCACAAACTTTTAAACCTCTTAGAAGGTCTTTCCTGCATCTTGTAACCAATATACTGAGGTATTTATTTAGGGTATTTTCATTCATAAATATAGAAGAGCCTTATTCTTATTCTAAAATTATTCTGCCCTCAAAATGTTTCTCACATAAATTTCAAGAGTGTTGAAAATAAGAGCTAAAAACAGCAAATCAATATTTTTGAAAAAAATTTACTTAATTGATGAAAAGTTGATGCATTCTTTCCTGAGCAATACAGTATTAAGTTTGCAATATCACTTCAAATTTGTAATTTTCCTAACGGTCAACCATACAATTCTTATAATGTTAGTTCAGAGAATTTAATATTGGATCACTTAAATATCCCCAAATTGATACTTTTCTTTATTCTCGTCACTTATCTGGTTGATATTGTATTCAATTTGATACTGTAAGGAGAAATTCTGTCTTGGCCATTCATGGGAGTTAGAGGGTCAATATTTATTTCTGAGTTAGGGGGTCATACAGTCTTTGGTAGTATCAGTAGTTATACACACTGGTAAAGTAAGGAGTGTTTTGTTGTTATTTATTTTTTTTTTGATATTTTAACATATTGGAATATAGATTAACAACAGAAACCTTGATACATTATTAAACATTATTAAAGGAGTGTATAAGAGTATACAGATATTCCACAAAAAATAAATTATGACGAAACCTTTTTAATAGAGTTGCAAAGAAAAAGGCTCATCTTATATACTTCTTGTCAGTTCTCAGGACAACTACACTTACCAGTGTCACTTACTTCCTCGTTTAATGATTTTCTGATTGACATGCAATGGAGAAGATATGAAATTCATATCAAGTTCTAATTACTGGGTACTCCAAAGTTTTGCTCACAAAGATCTGAGCAATAGATAAAAATCAAACTTAGCTTAAAAAACTTCTATATTAATAAAATACCATTGCAGGCCTTGTAATGAGCAGGTCTGGGAGGTACTTGCTAAAAAGCTTGAATTTTTTTTTCTTAACCCCCTGCCTGTGCTGTGCTTCACCCCACTAAAGATTTGCATATTCTTCACATTTCCACAAACACTACAGCCTTAGTCTCAGGTTAAGTACAGTTGTCCATAGTTGATAAATCTGTGGATTCTTCAGGGACACTACAACCATATAGCAAGCTAATTTTGGTAATTTTTTTATAACCCTGGTATTTTTCAAATAACTTCTTTGTTGCTGGAAGAGAGTAGTTAAGGACCTTTCACTATCTTTCAATAGAGCAAGGGATATGTAAGAAATTGGCAGACTGTACCTCCTATTCCAGTAACCTGTCATGAAAGTTATTTTCAAGGATACCCTCTACAATCAGGAAATATTTAATGTCCTAACTTATCCCTTCCCTCACA